CTCTCTCTCTCTCACACACACACATAGCATAAAACATTAAAAAGATCATCACTGTATTACAGTGGAATATTAGCATTGACTGTTGACAAGAAAATATCTTTTGTCAAAATGAGTTACCAAAAACTAATTTAAGATAAGGTCCCATAGACCAATGCCAATTTTAAAGTTAATGCAGAGTTTTAGAATTGTATTGCATCTAAAAGTTTCCTTCTAGGATTATTTAATAACACTAGAATGGTTTGAGAAATTTTGTTCCAAGATGCAGTGACTATTACAAAGAAAAGTAAGGAGTAAATATTTCCTCCTTACATCTCCATAGGTGTTCATTTTATCCTATACTCATGTCTAGCCTTTTCAAGTATGCACTGGGAATATTATTGGACTCTCAGAATATCTGTCTAACATAAAAACCAGAAACATGCTAAAAATCTTAATTGGGGATACTTAGCTCTGCCTTTTTTTCTCAGATTGATTCTTGACCTGAGTCATGAGAACTGTATCTGAAGATAGTGAAATGAAACATTCATTTGGTTATTCCATCAATCTTATGGCAAGTAGTTCATTCTACATGCCATTAAGGATTTTCCTTAAGTTCGTCTTCTCTGCTTGACAATAAACAACATACTGTCATTGATCAAGCTCAGCTAGCATTTCTTGTTCTGAATCCTTAACAGTATTTTGTCTTCACTGACACTCTTAAAGTTGATGCAGACATAGGAAAGATTGGGTAATTCACAGTCATCAAGACCTGAGGGACAGCAGAAAGAATGGAAACAGGTAACCTTGGGAGGTAGGATATAGGGGAGATCCTCCAGAATGTACCAGAGACCTGAGAGGTGAGAGACTCTTAGGACTCAAAGGGAGGGATCTTAGATGAAATGCCCTACAGTAGGGAGAGGGAGCCTATAGAGCCTACCTCCAGCAGAGAGACAGGGCATCAAGCAAGGGATAGTGTTGCCGTCCCACAGCTAAAACTTTGACCCAGAATTGTTCCTATCTTAAAGAACTGCAGGGATAAAAATGGAGAAGAGCCTGAAGAAAAGGAGGTTCAGTGACAGGCCCAAACTGGGATCCAACTCAAGGGAGGGCCCCAAAGCCTGACACTATTATTGAGGCTCTGCTCTGCTCATGGAAAGGGACCTATCATGAATACCCACCAAAAGACTCAATAAGCAGCTGAAAGAGTCAGATGCAGATATTTACACCTAGCCAGTGGACAGAAGCTGCTGGCCTCTGTGGTTAAATTAGGAAAAGTCTAAAAGAAGTTGAGGAGGAGGGTAACGCTATAGGAGGATCAGCAGTCTCAATTAACCTGGACCCTCGAGATCTCTCAGACAGTAGGCCACCAACCAGGCAGCATACACTAGATGATATGAGACCCCCAACACATATACAGCAGAGGACTGCTGGGTCTAGATTCAGAGAAGATGAATCCAACCCTCAAGAGACTGGAGGCCCCAGGGCGTAGGGAGTTCCGGTGGGGTGGTAGGTGGGGGAGTGAAGACATCCTCCTGAAGATAGGGGGTAGGTGTGGGATGTGGAACAGTCAGAGTGTGGACTGGGTGGGGAATAAAATCTGGACTGTAAAAAAAGATTAAATATAATGAAAAAATCATAATTCAATGGTATGATTTTTCCTCTTCTTTTAAGACTCAAAAGACCTACTTCATTTAAAAGTTTATTGCTTTGCCTTCTTGATTTTTTACTTAGCATAATTTATATTACATATTTTACACTATTTTAGTTGAAATTTTCAAATTAATTTTGGTAAGAAATTTAATGGCACTAATAATATACATTGTCAAAATGTAGAATTATTGAAGCATACAGTCAAAAACCAGTGGATAAGGAGATCATAGGTGCTGAGGTATAACCTTTTATTGTCATTTTGTAATTTGTTCATGCTGTCAATACCTTCTACATATTTATGACTCTACCCATAGAACTGGGATGCTCTTAACCTTAGTCAGAGGAAGTTATTTTTGGAACAGGCAGGAATCCACACAGAGATGAATGACCTGTGAAAGTGCTGAGAGTAAGACACTGAGTACTCAGTCCTAAATGGGACATTTATATCAAACATAACACATCCAATCAGCCTCAGGAAACATTGCAGAAGAGTCTAAGATCTGGGAGGTAGGAAGAAGTGCTGTCAAGTGTTGTCTTCTTCATATGATATGGGTATTATAATTGTATTTGCACACAGCAGCTGTGGTTACCTGCATATGACTTGTTCAGTGTCAAACTAGCGGAAGTCCCCATACAGGTGGGGGAGATGATTTCCAGCATCCATTGAATACTGAGACACTAACAGAAGTGCATAGTGGTGGGAGCTGGAAAATTATTCTTTATTGAGAACATGGACCCTAGTAGGTTTCCCACACTCTAGTGAATGACCTCAAATTCATTAGGGGGTTATGTGAGAGTTGAACAGAAGAACTGGAGGTGAAGATATACTCACACATTATTGTACATATGTATGGAAATATCAGAAAAAAAACCAAAGACAAATTCTGAAAAGGAAGATCAGTATTACAAATTCTACAACTATTAAAAGTGTATGGTATGCTATTGGCCTAGATAAGTTTAAAAAGAAAATTTTTTTATTGGTCCTTAGTGAATTTCACGTCATGAAAACAACCCCACTTGTCATAGCTGCCCTCCACTTTTGCAACCACCCCTCCCCACTCGGAGAAAACAAATCTCTTACGGAAGCTGTAGTGTGTCACAGTGTCTCCACGGTATACACTTTTGTCCATACAGATTTGCTTGCAAATATCTATTGCAAAGACCCATTGATATGGTATTAGTTCTGTAGTTTCTGTTACTCTATCAATACTAGAACATCAATGGGACTTCTCTCTGTTATCTTGTTGCCCTGTTTCATGGAGATCCTGTAGTTTTGGATATATAGGACTGACCACTTTATAGACCCCATTAGTTCATCGATAGGGTAGATGTTGGGGTAAGCCAATTCAAAGTCCTGGATCTGGGCCTGAGAAGTATCTAAGCTGGTCAGTCAGTCCACTTGCCAACTTTCCTGTTCTTATACCTTTGGGGGCAGGCTCATCTGAAATCCCTACAACCAGGGCCAGGTTTACTCTGCAGCACAGGTAAAAGACATGGCACACTCTCCTGAGTGTTGCAGCTGATGAGAGACATAGCCAGTTATCCTACTTCATGTTCCAGGGCAAGCTCTTTTGCCTGCCACAAATGATTAGGGATGAGGGAGGGGAGGAGGAGTCTCATCTATGCCACCACACAGCAGAAAAGAGTCAGGGTTGGCTCACACACAACTTCCATGTCTAGGGCCAGCTCTACTTGATGCCCAGATGAGAGGTAGGTACAGTTCTGCTCCTCTCAAAACCCCAGGGCCATAAGTGACAGGGGTGAGGTCTTGGGATAGCATCTCTCTCTCATACTGCACTACTCCATTGCAGACAAGTGCCCAGGCAAGCCCTCCCAAGCTCACACTGTAAAGCCAAGCTCACTTGCTCTCCCACCATCAGAGTCAGCTCTACTGTGCTGTCTAGGTGAGGTGTACAGCCTACTTTCCTGAGTGCTGAAGTAGGTGGGGGGGCAGGGACAACTGGCTCTTTGGCTCTCATAACTCTATTGGGACCAGCTCTCAAGGAAAAAGAGAGGGAGTCTTTTCCTCATCAATGGCACCACACATCATAGAAGAAGAGTAGGGCTGGGTCTCCCATACTCATCTCTTCAGAAGAAACAGATTTGCACCCCTACCACTATGGTCAGCTCTATTATGCTGCCCATGTAGGGTGCAGAGCCTGCTCTTCTAAGTGCTGCAGCAGGTTAGGAGCAGAGACAGCCCTCCTGCTTTCATGACCCCAGAACCTGGTCTCCTGTCTGCTGCAAATAGTAAGAGCAAAGTGAGAAGAAGTGATTTCTCCCTTGTCCACATCACTGCATGGAAGATGAATAGCAAGACCTTCTCTCCCACACTTAGTTCCTCAGGGCTGGCTTACCTAAGGCTTTTCTAAGTACTACAGTTGGCTATGAGGTAATCAATTCTTCTGCTCTCAAGACAACAGGACCAGCTATCCCATGATGCTCAGGTGAGAGGTGGGGCCAGTTCTGCATGGCTTTTAGACATCAACATGTTTCTGGGCAGCAGACCAAACCAAGCCTTGTCTTTGGTGTAACAGCCCCCTGCTGCTGCAAGGCCATAGACCCAGACATAATTACCTGATGCCAGCATTGCCCCTGGTGTTATCATTGGCTACTCACATCAGGCTGTTTCTCACTACCCTCAAGTCTCAGAAAATTGAGCAATAAATAATTGTAATATTATTCCAGAATATTTAAAAATCAGGAAATATTTTCCCCAATAGTTGAATTAGATTTTTACTTATTAAAAAAAAATAAAGCAGTTACATGAAAGTAGTATATAGATTGTAATCTCCCATGGCCTTGAGGTTATCAGTCTAGGGCACACTCTCACAAGGAGCTGCAGTCCGAGACAGTGTTCTTTTAGTCTCTTGCTCATTTCCCATCCTAGGAACCCACTCAGGCCCCATGGCCCCTGACTGGTGGCCATCTCAGGCTCTCTTTTTTTCAAGAAATATTAGTATACTAATCATTCAGATGTTCATAGATCAGAACACTGAGCATAGACATAACCCTTCTCCTATTGGCCCCTTATTTACACACATGTGACACATTAGCCAGGCCAACAATGCCTCTAGGGGAAGTGACAATTTTCTTAAAAGACACAAACTAGCAGAGATAATACAGAAGAAGTGCAATCATAATAAACATTCACATATTAAAAAGTATTTATAATTAACTTATTTACAACCAAGGAACATGAGTATAAATATCTTCACTTCCATCTTTTCTCAGATATTTGGGCAATAAATATTCATAATGATATCCAAGTATATCTAAAATATAGAAAGTAATTTTTCCAATAATAACATTAGAATTTTACTTATTAAAACCAAATCTGTTACATGAAAGTAAATATGCAGAGTATTTCATTCATCCAGGCAGAATATTTAAATTAAATCCTTAAATATATTAAAACTATATCCTGATTATAATATGTGTAATATATGTAGTAAAATCAATTAACAAATTCAATAGTCGTTTACAGGTTTTGTGATTAATCTGAAATAGTCTCAATTTACTAAAGATCATCTAAAAACAATAACAGACAAAACTATTATAATAACATTAACTGGAACCAACATAATTAGCTTCTTGAAAGAAAATATTGCATTGAGGGAACAGACTAAATTAAGAAATAGAAACTCACTTGTTAACATGAAGAAAAACAATGCATCAGGTTGTCATTATTCCTGGAAGTTATGGTCACTTATAGAGACTAAACGAAGGAATCTAGAAAATGCTTTCAACACTCATAGTAAGTTGAACTTGATTACATAAAAAATGTTATAATAGGAGAAAATATTTTCAAAGTAAATATTTTATAAAAGTATTTATTTAAAATATGGAAAGAACTGCTAAAATTAAGCACTAAGAAAGCAAACACCCAACATAAATATGACCAAAAATTTCCAACAGACATTTTCTCATAAATAAACAAGGGACTAATTGTACGTAAAGTCTTATATTGCTAATTATTTCAAAAATGCAATTGAAAAAGCACACAGATATTGCTATGTACACTCTAAGACAAAAATTTAAACACATAACAAAAGCCTATGAAAGCAAGTGCCAATAAAGTCTGAAAGCAGCTCCAACACTAGCATGCTGCTCATGCTAATGGAAAATTTCCCAACAGATGTTGGGAAAGAGTTTCATAGATTTATTTATGATAATAAATATGCAGGTATAAATTAGCATCTGTCTATCATGGGATCTACTGATGCTAGTATGAGACATTTAACAAACCACAATGAAAACAAGGTCATTCATTCCAATATTCACAAAAACCTCATTTATTCAATACTATCTAAACTTGTGGCAGAGCAATCAAATTGAAAGGTACATGTCCAATAGAATACTACTTAACACAGAAACATCATCATTTCAGATGAAAGAAGCCATATACTGCATATAAGAATTTATTTGATTGCATTTACATATAATTTTCAAAAAATATAAAATTTACAGACCAGAACAAAAATCAGTGTTAGCTAGGATGTGAATTTTGGGGTAGTTATTATTAGAGTACATTTTGTCAGCTGATTATTGGTGATGGAAATACTGCATAATTTAATTTTAATGCTATTCGTGGCTTGTAAGTATTTACACAATTTACAAAACTATACCATTAGTACTGTTGTCTAAAAAAACAAAAAGGAATATTATCAACTATTTTGTCTACCAAACTTCCCAAAACTAAACAAAAATGATTTTGGCACTTCTTGACAGTCAATATGTTTGTTATCTAGAATCTACTATGAAGAGTGGCATATTTTTTTTATCTAGTATCTGCTATGAAACTATATTTTCCCCATTAAGCTATGTTCTGAAGTTATCATGTATGTTTTAAAAGTGTTATAATGACCTTATGTTACTGTTTCTCATATATTATGAATCAATTTTATACAGAGATATGACTTCATTTTATTCTACTGCCTATCACTTCATAATTCTCATTATTAAAGAATTTTAATCACTTCTGAGAATGTAAGCTGTTGAAATTTCTATGAGTAATTTTTTTTGAACAGGTAGGAGGGGCCACACTATTGTTTCTCAGTCTGGTGTATTGTGAAGATATTTGAAAGGCAACATCATCTCCAGTACAGTGGCTGTGGGATTTCCAGCTGTGAAGGTGTCTCTCCCCATTGTTTTGGCAGCTGAGTTCTCTTACTCATCCCGCAAAACAGTAGGAACTTAGAATATTCCCGGCATGCATTTTTACATTCACACCTGTACTTTATTAAGAAGAGATATTTCCAGGATATCACACCTGTGTTTTGTCTGGATGGGTAAGTGTTTTAGACTTTGACAAGAATATTCCAATAGAACAGTCGGTGTCACAATTTCTGAGGCAAAAGTTTGTGCTACAGTTTGAAAATTGCTCTCACCTATGACCCAGATCTCATTAGTAACACTACATAGCTATCTTCTAATAGTCATTTCTATGGCTGTGTTCCAACCAGACAACGTATTTACTGGCAAGGAAAAATTGGTTTCTAATCTGACCCAGACTTGCCTTTTCAGATTTTTCTGGCTGATTTTCATTTTAATTTCTAGTTCTCATTGTCCCTTGGAAATAAAATTCACAAGGCAAATACTTTTCACTGTTTGTAAGAAATCTCAGGTTTTGTTCTCAGTCAGCATTCCTGGAAAGTCACAGGTGGATATATAGATCTGAGCTGTTGAATAATTGATTGCTACATTTGGAAACATATATTGACTTTTTATTCTCTATGCTTCTTTGTCAAAAATAAATAAGATTCAGTTACTCTTTCTATGAACTTTGCATTATAGTAAGAAAGAGACATGGAGACAATTATGAGACCATGTTGCCATGTTCTAACAGACAAATAACAGATGCCAAGAGTCAGAAAGCTATTTGGAAAACAGCAGCTTGTCTGATCCACAGTTGCCTGAAAGAGCTGCAGGTTTTCCAGCGTAGGTAGCAGCGGAGGTCTTGAAACAGAAGGTGGTGGGATGAGAAGCTTTTCCAAGCAAAGAAACAACTCTCACACAAATGTATTAGAGAAGCAATAAATGTATTCAGATAATGTATTGTTTAAAGTTACCCTATCTGTGTTGTGTGAAAATAGCTGATGTAAACAATTCAAAGCAAAGAAAAGATTTATTTGAGCCACTTTTAGTCTATGGACTTCTGGCCTCAGGACAGACAGCTTATTATGGTGAGGAAAAATGCATCTGCAGCCTGTTCATTTTGTGGTTACTGGACATGAAATGAAAGTAAGCAAAGAGCTAGTGTTTCAGAGCTTCATCACATAACCAATGAAACATTTATTCCAAATAAAATCATAATCTTAAATTTCTACAAGTATCAAGTAGTCCATTGAACTTTTAATTTATCAGTGCATTTATTCACTTGATTAAGTTAGTGCTCCCATCATCCAATCATACTCTCAAAGTAGGTAACTGTGAACATTGCTTCATTAGTTACCAAGCCTTCAACATATATGGTTAGGGGGACATTTGAGGCACAACTAATAACAAATAATTATCAAATTAGGGTAAGGTTACTTATTCATTCATTGAGCCTTTTTTTTAATTGTATTTTATCACTTTATTTTTTACACTCCAGATTTTATCCCCCTCCTGGTCCAGCTTCTGACTATTTACCATCCAACACCTCCTCTCCACCCTGTCGCCACAAAAATGTCCCCACCCCAACCTTCCATCCCATTAGACCTCTCCACTTCCTTGTACCTCCAGTCTCTTGAGGGTTAGGTGCATCTTCTCTGACTGAACACAGACCCAGCAGTCCTCTGCTGTATATGTGTTGGGGGGCTTCATATCAGCTGTAGCAGTATGCTGCCTTTTGGTGGTCCAGTGTCTGAGAGATCTCAGGGGTCTAGATTAATTGAGACTGCTGATTCTCCTACAGGATCACCCTCTTCCTCAGCTTCTCCAGCTTTTCCCTAACTCAAACATAGGGGTCAGCAGCTTCTGTCCATTGGTTGTGCGAAAATATCTGCATCTGACTCTTTCATCTGCTTGTTGGGTCTTACAGAGGGCAGTCATGATAGATCCATTTTTGTGAATACTCCATAGTCTCAGTAATAGTGTCAGATTTTGGGCCACCCCTTGGGCTGGATCCCACTTTGGGTCTGTGGCTGGAGCTCCTTTTCCTCAGGCTCGTCTCCATTTTTGTCACTGCAGTTCATGCATGTCATTTTGGGTCTGAGTTACCTCACTCAGGATGATATTGTCTAGTTCCATCCATTTGTCTGCAAAACTCAGAATGTCCTCATTCTTAATAGCTGAGTAGTATTCCATTGTGTACATGAACCAGATTTTCTGTATCCATTCTTCTTTCCTCGGACATCTGGGTTGTTTCCAGCTTATTACTGACCAAATTTTGTATATAAAATCATGATTTTAGAAGACACTTTTTGGTAACCAAAAATGACAAAAATCCTGTTACTCATGTTGTTTATACTCTAATTAATAGTAAAGCAATGAATACAAAACACTATGCATATCACATGATAAAATAAAGAATAGAGAAAATTAAAAGAAGGAAGATATTTACTCAGGAGTAATGGGTCAGTGAACTAGAAATTCAATTGGGATCAAACTGGTGAATTAACCTGATTAGAGCCAGGGGAAGTGAAAAACTCAATCATTTAGATATCTAGAGAAACATACTGTGGAGATAAAAGTGCAAAATCTTGAATTTAAACATGTGTGCACTGGAAAAACTAGCAAATGGTGGCCCTTTTGCACAGGTTGCATAAGAAGAGATTAATAATGGGGATTAATTAATGAGTATCTTTGTGTATTTGAGAGAAGTCACTCTTTGTGTTACGTTAAAGGAAGTTATTAGTGTGTTCAGACATAGCACACAACATGTGTGAATTCCTGTGGGATTGGTGATTTGAAAAGCAGCCTTGCTGATTAAGGAACAGTGGTAGCCTATAGTCATACGTGTGTAGATATCAAGAAAATTTTCCACTCTGGGTAATATTTAGACAAGGCTGACAACTTTCCCTGGTGGATTCTAATGGAGCATTCAATGTTGATTCTAATGTTTTAGACCCAAACAACTGGAAGAGTGGAATTGACACCCT